GGCACGCTCACCGCGGTGCTGGCCCTCTTTGTCAATCTGGTCTACCCCCTGTACAAAGCCAAGTGGACCTGAGCTGACCGGATCAGATCAGAGGAAACGGCTCGCTCCGTTTGCATGATTAGGCCTGCTGGAGTCATTCACGGCCTTTTCCCGTCTGAACGGACTCAGAGGAAGTCAAAGCAGCGTCTTCCTGTCATGGCTAAACCTCACCGGTCTGTCAGAGGTCAAGCTAATGGTCCCCAAGCTTTTAGCATCATTTCCCCATCGTCATTTGTATGTTTATGAACCCCCAAAAACAGCCTTAAAAACCTGTGTTGCATATCTGAAAGCCTGTAGGAAACCCTGAGGGTTTGATCTGAAAATGAGAGATAAAGGTTGGGGAGAAAAGGATGAATAAGAAATGTTACCGGTGGCGTTTTTAGTCCCGTATGTTGTAGAGAGAATCAGAGGAAAAGAAACCTGCCTGTCTTTCACCTGCTGCTGAACGCATTCTTCTGCTTCAGAGCTCCTAAAGAGCCACAGTTATGTTTTAGATTTTTGTCAACTTTTTATCGCTGTTCCTGATGACTTTGTTTATTGACTTTTTATGTTTTGGCGTGTTCTTTTATGCTGTTTTGCCCTTCAGTTTCAGGTTTAAAAGCCATATGAAAACAAAGGACTGCAGTTTCTCAGGATGAAACCTGGTTAATAACGACTTAAACCACTTAACTAAAAGTTAGAATCAGTAGTTTACAGACACACTACAAACAGGAAGTGTGAAATCACTGTCCAATGTCATATTTCAATGCATAACCTCGACAAAATCTAAAGAAATGCTGATTATAATTTTAAATCTGAAATGTAAATTGTAATATTTAACTGAATATAGCAACTTAAAGACATTTCTTGAAACTTGATATTTAAAAAATACGTATAACTGATTCAGATAAATATACAGATGAATTAGAAGTAGAATGCATATTTAAACAGATGGGTTTTGGTGTGTAAATGAGCTGGTTGTGGCTTCCTTTGGGTCCTTTTCTTTGTGTGTTTGGGTCTCAGGGAAATCTCAGAACCGGGGCACCATGCAGGGCTCCCCCTGAAATGCTTTTTAGAGCCGAGTCTCCGTGTGCTTGGTTCAGAATTATGCAAATGCTGAAGTCCATCCGGGTTCAGAAGCTCCTCATGACACGAGCTCCACGTGCACTTTTGTGAGGACGGAGGTTAAATATGGAAGCTCGTTTTCGCTCTGTTTAGAGGCTGAAATGCTGCTGGGTTTTACGACAGTCCAGTCCATTTTACTGTAGAAACTGAAGAATAATCATGTCTGATTTCTCTTTTTTTTTTAATTGTTTTTCTCTGTACAATACATTTAAGGCTAACGGGCTACGAAAAGTACTGTATTTAAAAGACGATTTATTTTCATTTCCTTGCAATAATGTACATTACCTCCATCTAAATGCTGCCTCCTAATATATATAAAGCCTTGAAATGAAATAAAATCACGTTTATTGTCTTTATCTAGCAAGTCCCTCCTCCCTTTTACAGCTTTTTTTTCCCCACATGGCTGAAACCTCCCGCTCAGATTGACAGCCAACGCTGGTTTATGTTGCAGGCGTCTAGCCAGGCTCTGTTCGGGAGCGAGCTGGACCCGGAGGGCCCCCCCCCGCTGACCCCCGAGGCGCCGGCCGACCTGTTCGCGCACGCCGCCGACTGCGCCGCCCCGTCCTACAGCAACATGGAGGAGGTGGACTGAGGCCCCGCCCACCCGGGGGACGCGCCCATAGGGGGAGACCCGCCCACCCGGGGGGCTGGAACCAGGTGTCCAAAAAAAACAAAAACAAAAGGTGCAATGTTGGATCTGGACTCAGCCCCTGGCTGTGGACCCCCACCCCCCCTCTTAGGTCACACACATGGTAATAACCCCCCCCCCATCCCAATTAAGGCTTAACGAGCTGCCTACATAGTCCTGCTCACCTGGTGCTTTTAGCCACACACACACAGGCTTAAACACACATCATGTGGGGGGGTCCTGCTGAGGGGGGGGGCACCCTGAGGCCCCGGTTAGCCCCAGTTAGCCCCGGTTAGCCCCCGGCCGAGGCTGTGGGCCGTTCCCGGTTCCATCTAGGTGTGCGTAAGTCTTTCGTTTTCTTTTTAAGACCGTTTCCGGCTGGTTTTTGTGGCGGCAGAAAAAAAAAAAA